GATTTTTTTTTTTCTTATGTTCTTTCTCCCTTTTATCCTTGAGTCCTTAACCCAAAAGAGCTCTGAGCCCCGGAGAGCTAGAACCTTGCCGGGATGCACAATTATAAATAACGATGTTCAAATTTGCTATTTAGTGTCGGACCCTGCAAACTGATGACGCAACCTAAACAACGAGCACGGGCAGACGAGGTCAACGCGAATTTTGAGTAACCAATCTGGGTGTGCGGGCCGATTCGGGAACGTGACAGTGATGGAGCTTGAGCTCGAACTCGAGCTTGAAGTCGTTCGTTGTCGGTGAGTAAGTAACTTACTTAGCTGCCTGATAGGTTGTCAACTGATTATCACATGGAATTTGATAGACCTAATTGTTAAGAAACTTAGATATCACGAGAGGTGATAATAGCTCTTCCCCCTTTTTTTTGTATCCTTTTCTCCCTCTCTCCCATCTTCTTGGAAGACTTGGTTGCGGTATAAAAATACTCTTGGTCGTTTTTTAGTCATAGTGTGCTAATATGAGACAATGCAAAAAAGTGACCGCCCTCGCACCTCGTAGGTTACAGCTAATTAGAAGAAAGCCGAGGGTCAAGGGTTGATATTTGCTTTGATGCTTATCATGATATCATCAAATCAGACCCCGCTGGGATATAGGTTATACCACTACTACTTAAGTACTGCATCAGGTGGGAGAGAGGGATGTAGGTATTAACCAAGACCAATTATCACCAGAGTATATATGTCTTTCCATTATAAGACGCGATAGCATCACAAGCCACCTAACCATTGATCAGCAAAGATGCACACAAGATTAACTCATGAGGGGGGTGTGTTGTTTCCCCAGAGTTGTGCGAAAACGGGAAATCTTCTCGCATTTGAATGGAACGCCACACCCAGTGCCAATATATGCTACACCTCCTCCTGGATCTAAAAGGGATTTGTGGGGCGGAATGTTCATCATATCTACCAGCCATAAACGGCTTAACATGATTGGTCCTAGGGTGTTGTGGAATCTCATAGATCACCTCGACATGACCTGCGGAGAGCTAAGTTTTAAGGATGGGCTTAGGACATCTGAAGTAGTTTTCTTAAGAAAATGTATAAAGTAGTACGCTGTGGATATGGTGGACATTCCGCCCCACAAATCCCTTTTAGATCCAGGAGGAGGTGTAGAGAGCGGTTAAGGACCCAGCTCGCAACTGATCCCCCTCAAACTGATGCAGCACAGCCTCCACAAGGCCAGTCGTTGCAGTTTCACAGGTGGCGGGCTGAGACTTGGGACAGGGCAAACTCAGACGAACCAGAGGAAAACGAAGTGGTTAAAAAAGCTCTGGCAGTCTGGGCGAGAACCACGATGAGCTCGGCTGGTACGCCGAGTTGTTGCGAATTGTTGTACACCGAAATTGGAGGCGTTCCCATTCACGTTTATTGCATGCATTTGCATGCAAAGTTGAACTAAAAAAGAAAAGAAGAACTTAAAAAAAATAGGTACACTTACCGATGTAATTCTTAGCTCTCTTCTCTCTTTTACTTTTCTTTTTCTTTTCTTTTCTCCTTTCCCCCTTCTCTACCTTAACGTAAGCGTACGTACTACCTAGCATACACTACTTTACTCCTGACCCCCCCTAACCTAACCTAAACCTCTTTTCTCCCCCCGCCGAATAGGGAACCGCCGGTGCCTGCAGTGGTACAGGTACTAGTGCCAAAAAAAAAGTGTGCACCTGCATACACCAGGTACTAAAGTAAGCTTCTTGCTTCTGCTATTGCAGGTGCTGGCTGTTTTAACTCAGGGGTTCGAGTCCATCGCCCCCACATTTTGTCCATCCATTCGAAATTAATTGCGACTCGTCCTTGCGGTTGCCGTTCTTCATTTCTTCCTCCGCCTTTTGTACGCCGTTTCCTACTCTGACGGATGCGCTTGATGGGATTCTTATCCTGCTGAGCCTTTCTTGTCTTGCTCAGCATTCTTCTCCTCTTTTTTTTTTCTCCTCTCCCTCTTTTTTTTTCTGACCTTTCCATCCTAGTAAGTCTTAGCTTGTCAGTAGGTTGGGTTGGGATATTCTTGACAGCTGATCTTATTACTATGTTTTAAGTCGGTTGATCGAAGAAGAAAACCACTTTTCTCCCATCCTTCTCTTCATCCATACCTTACTATCATTTTCTTCTTTTTTCACTTTCACACTCCTTTGTTCAACAACCCTAAATTATTCTTGTCGCTACACGCGAAAACCCTCGTTTCGATCTTTTTGTTTGATTTAACTTCATACAATCCTTTTGATGATAGACTCTCCCCCACATTCCTTAAAAAAAGAGCCCGACTCGTTTTTAGTTGTAAACGGTTCAAGAGTAGCGCTAGGGAAGAGGTCTACCGTATACACCATCGTTTCACGAATATCTTCACACTAGACGACCGCCGGCCGGAGCAGGCAAATTTAGTAAGGAGGGGCAATAAGTGGCAGATCGTGTTTGCTGCAGTCGAAGAAAAAAAAAAGGGTTCGCCAGAAGTTTTCAAGACGATCATACAACAAACACACCTTGCCGCGCTTCCATATTTGGACCATGGGTAGATAGGGAACTTCCGGGTGTTTCAACGTTTCGACATTTACATCTTGCCCTCCCAAAAAAATACTCCAGCATTGATCTGCTGTGAATCTTTCATCCGATACTACCACACTTATTTCGGGGCCGAAATAACCCAAGATGCCGCACATCGGCGTCCTAATGGAGCGCAGCCTCCACGATCGCAGCTGGAAAGATGCGTTTGTTCAACTTGTCGCAAGAAGTGCTTATGCTGCCATCACCAAGCGTGACTCCAGCCTTTCAAGCAGCATTTCAGATGCTGCGACTGCGTTCTCGAGCTGGGATAACTGTATGAAGGCCACGTTCTGCAAGTATGTTTTATGTTCTGCCGCTGTTATTCTGTTTCTACTAGGAAATGCTGACGTGCGACAGATGGCCCGTAATTGCCGTAATTATTATTGGAGGTCTAATTATTCTCTCTATTGTCTGGTGCATTGTTCGATGCGCCTGCTGTGGCTTGTCGTGCTGCTGCGAATGCTGCCGCTGTCTGAAATGCTGTGGTGAGTGCTGTGGATGTTGCGATCCTCCTAGGAAGAGGAACCACAAGTACTTGGATGAGCCATACATCCCGCCCCATCACGATCAGGCTTATAGGTCGGAACCGCCCATGCCTATGATGCCCAGCTTGAATACGAAGCATGATGTGCCTCAATATGCCGAATTTGATACCTCTAATAATAACAAGGACGCGGACTCACTACCTGCCATGCCTCTTTGGGACGATGCCAACTCGAAGAAGGTATACTTAGAGGAAACAGTGGAAATGGAGCCATTGAAGAAGCCTGACCCAACTCAGAACAACTACGCTGGTGCGACTATAATGGCCCATGCAACAACTCCCAGCCCCATCTCTCCCGAGAACAGAAGCCCATATGGGCCACCAGCTGGACAACCTGGACCAGGTGGATATATGACGGCAAACCGAGCAGTTGCCGACCCCTACGGCCAGCAACAGCAACAGGGATATGGCTACAACAGCTATGATAACTCCGGCTACGAACAAGCCGTGCAAGATAACATGAATCAGGGTTACGGCATGGCTGGTGCTGCTGCAGCTGGTTCGATGGGACGACGAACGCCACACCAGGATTACCAGGGAGGTTATCGACAACCCTCGCAGGACAATATGAACCACGGTTATGGCATGGGTGCTGGTTCAGTAGGAAGACAGACTCCCCATCAAGATTATAACAACGGTTATGAGCAACCGTACCCCCAATCGCGAACCCCCAAGCCATACGATGAGTTTGGACGGAGTGTTACGCCTGGATCTTATGGTGCTGGCCCTCGGGCGCCGCCGAGCAATAACGCTTACGCCAACCCCACTCGGATGGCATCGCCTGGACCTCAAGCTGGTGGCTATGGTTACGGCAATGCCACCAACCCGTCTCGGATGCGGTCACCCGGTCCCCAAGTCGGGTTGGAATATCCGCAGCGGTCGCAAACGTATACGTCGAGTGACTACAGCCGAACCTACTCCCCGGCTCCTCAGCGGTCATACACCACCGATTCTAGTCACCCTCTAGCACGGGAAACTCCAGAACGTCAATACTCAGAGGCCACAGCGTCATCACCGGTGTCACCGATCTATAATAATAGCGGTTTCGACTTCAACTCGGGCTTCAGCCGCCCGTCCGGCGAAGTATCACGATCGCCACCTCCTACGCAACCCACACAGACAGCAGCAAACGGCGGGACTGCATACCCAGGCTACCGCGCCTACAAGCCACAGCAGTAAATACCGACAAGTGTAGCCGATACGGAGTTTGCATGGAATGAAAGCGGTAATGACACAAATAATAAACGTAGCGATGGGACTATTGCATGACACATGACAGATAATCTACAGAGGAGGAGCTGGTATTCTACCCGAAGTAGACCAGCAAAGGTGTTTTTTTTTAAGATATATCTGTTAGGCAATGAAAAAAAAGGCGCGGCGTTCTTGGGCCAGCAGATACGGGCTTGGGGCATTCTACTTTTCGAATCTGGTTTTTGCATGATGACCTTTTGCAGGGAATTCACATTGGTATATGAAGGGAAATAGGGGCCAATGGTGAAGTTAGGCGAGGCCCTGGCTTGGCTTGGTGTACACAATCGATTGATACCTGATACCTTTTTATATACTCTTCTTCATACATCACGAGGCATTCTTCTATCTCTCGTGAAATATTATTCGCGAGGTTTCCCATCCCGAAGTGATTTGCCCCTAGCTATGATTATGTGATGCAGAATACGCTATAGAGTTTTGAGGGTCTTTAAATCAATCCCGACACTGGCAACTATCACTTTCCGAAAACTAAAGAAGAATCAACATGCTACTTGCTATTCATAATGAACTAATTACTCGGTCTATGGAGGAAAAATAAAGGGACAAAAAATTAAACGCTGATAAGCAGCTGGAGTTGTCTACAGCTTCCCCTTGGATTTAGTCACGCCGTGGATCGAACACGGAACCTTCTCGGAAGTCGGAAACTTATTTGGACACAAGAAATTTGTGAACGAGAAATCATAACCATTAGACCACGCGACTTTTTCACCAACACTAGACGATGTGCCAGATTAGGGTTAGGGTATAGAAGAATAATGGCGCAAACGGGGATTATAGATAGAGAGGGTATGGTAAGAAGAGTGGGTTGACTATGTGATGTGAGCTTTGGTGGATGGTGGTAGCAGAGATGGGGAAATTGAAATAGAGGCATTTTAGTTGTCTGTTTCAATTGTAGGAAAGTTCTCCAGATGAGAAAGACCGCGCGCGGGATGCGTTCAAAGATAGACTTGGTTTGGGCGCGGGTTTCGAGAATCAATTGGGGGGGGGGGCGGGGGGGGGGGGGGGGGGGGGGGGGGGGC